AAGGAAGTTCTCCAGGTAAATTCAGCATAGAATACTTTTCTTTAACTTTTTTTAATAAAAATATCCCTTTTTATTTTATCACAACATTCTTCTGCAATTGTACGGAGGGAAATCATTATAGATTGGTATTATTTTTTCCATTCGATAATGGTGTGAAAATATTATCTATCTATACTTTGCAGGTACTTAATTTATTTGCTGATCACTTGCATATAAGGAAGGACCTCTAGTGTCTAACATGAACAAGTTGATCAGTTATTAGTGAATCTTCTAATACATATTTTGCGTAATTTTCAGCTTAAAAAAGAAGGAAGGAGGAATGAATATGAGATGCATAAGCTGTTAGCGTTGAATCAGAGGCAAAAGATGGTAAGTAGATGTTCAAACAAGTTGCTTTTGGGGCCTGGTTTGGATATCAAGCTTTACTGTTGATTATTCCCATTATTATTCATGAGTTCATTACAGGTATTGCAAAGGAAGACAGAAGAAGCTTCCTTAGCCACAAAAAGGCTAAAAGAACTTTTGGAATCTCGAAAGACTTCACGCGAAACTACAGGTCAGGAGATTTACAGTGCTACGAATCTTTTCCTGTTTTGTGAACTTATTAACAGGCAGTTCCTTTTTTACACACAGGTGGGAATGGTCCAGGAATTCAGGTACTTCTTTTTCTATGCTTGTGAATCACAATGACTAAATTGTTTCCTAAGCAATGACCAGTTCTCGACGGGGCTAATATTCTATATTCTACCCTTTTTTAATGTGTGTATCGTGGGGACATGGGGTAGTTTATTTTTAATACTACTATGATTCCATCACGGTATTTTATGGCTGATGTCTTGGTGTTTTAATAACTTCTACTTGACATTTGATAATTGTTTTTATTTGCAGGCTTTGATGCAGGCAATTGAGCATGAGCTTGAAGTCACAGTCCGAGTGCACGAAGTACGCTCAGCACATGAGCGTCAAACAGAAGAGTATGTTCTACTTTTTACATTTATAGTGTGTTTAGGAAAGCTTTTTTCCCAAAATTTTAGCTGTTTTTATAATAAAAAAGCTGTTTATGATTTAAGCTACATGTTTGAGAAAGATGCTGAAATTAAAAAAAAAAA